CTTACTTCGACACGTGTCAGAATAAAATGAATTTTATGTCCTGCCCCCTTTCACTATTTAAAGGTAAAGAAAGTGTTACCAGGAAAACTAGGATAGAATTAGTACAAAGAAGAAGGCTTGAATGATATGCTGACATTGTTTGCCAGCCTCAGTTTGACTCCAGATCACGTAAAAGTTCGTAAAATGTGTGGCGGACTCAGTCCGACATCGGACCACAAAGGGTTAAGAGGAGACGTACCTGGAAAGGGTGAAAAATCTTGTCACAAGGGAAAAAATTATAGTAATAAATATTAATGAAAATGCAGCAATATGTCAGGACGAATTAAATTTTGTATTTAAGTTTTTCTCTGCACAATACTATAAAAGCGAGACATCGTGTTATATTTATAATGTTAGATACATGGCGTATCGAAATAAGTGTCTCCAGACACCTAAATAACAGCTTAGAATAATGAATGGTTTATTGTCATTCTCCCAGCGCTCTATTAGCCTTAAAGAGAAACAACACAAATATAAACCAAAGAGACAGGAATAAAACATTCAGAATACCATCTTAGTTCATCGATTAGAAACTGACTTGGTGTCTTTGCCATTTGACATTTTAAACGCATTTTAACTGCTTTCCAAAATAACTACGTTGTATGCCAACTTTTTTATGTAAAGTGACGTCATAGAGGTCTTGTATTGTTCTAATCGAGACAGTTATGAAACACCCGGTGACAGCATAACGGAGGTGTTGTCCCATGCCATAGGTAATGTGCCGAAATCTGACGAAGACAGAGAATCCTAACAACTCGACAGATCAAGCCACAGCAAAAGAAATTCAACGGGTTTTCACCCAGTTTGATTTCGTGCCAAAATTATTTCCTTCTTTTTTAAATTTTGTTTTACGACGGTAGAATCCAAGCATCTGCCTCACGCCACGTAACGTATTGTTGGGATGGCTCCCAATAGACCGGAGATGATCTTGTAGATATGATGAAGCTTATGTGGCCAGTGATGAAAATTGGTAGGGAATTAATGGACTAGAACAACTTATAAATCGAGGTAAAAAGGTGACACTGATTATGATTAAGAATCTCTTATGGCAGTCATTAAAATATGTTCTCTGCCGAGACTAAAATGTGTCATGAACAGAACCTCTCGGCCAGCAATCTCCATCTTCCGCAATGTTTACACAATTAATTAAAAACACAATTCCTAGTGCATTCTTGGGGTGGAATTAAAAAGATGCGTTTCTAATGCGTGGCGCCCGTCTGCTGTTTGTTACGCAACGCGTTTTAAACCGATCATGGCAGGACAATCTGAAAACGGCCAACGCTTACAATTGTTTGTTTAATAGTTCTTACATTACAGATTTTCTCGCAATCAGTTAATTTTCGTAATCATCCGCGCTGTCTCCAAGAATACGGACATCACGTGTATGTTATAGATTCGCTGTGACTTTTACTCTGTATGTCTTTCTGCGGGGGTTTAATACTTGCGAGGTATGACGAAAACTGCAGTTAGACCCATAAGTAATGTAGGCTTTAAAACAGGTTGAAGTGATACTTCACAATATGAACATGACAGTCTGCCAGAGAAATCATAACATAGAGCTAAGCTCAAGGTTCATTTAGGTCAATAAAATGTGTCGATTTCACCAAAATCAGCATGGCTTAACAAATCGTAATGTAGGTCTGTCATCTTATACTGATTAAGTTGATTTGGCTTAATAATATGCAGACAGGAATAAAGAAGCTGTTGGGTTTTTTTTGTGTGCTCGTAACGCACATCGAATCTCGATTGTCCGACATGTGGCCAGCCAATTTTTGTGACTGAGTCATCCATACTCACATCATATGAAGGAGCTCTCTCTCATGATTATCTTCACAAAGCCAGAAACTTTGAGCGGTTAGTTGTCTTGATAAATTTAATGGTTTTGGAACACAGACGTAGAAGCTAAAATAATCTGAGTTTAGACATTATATATACCAAGTATAACTTATAAGTCTGCTGCTGATGTCCGACTAGTACATTCTCTGCTGCGCTCGCGAATTAACTGTCAACCAAGTATCAAGTAGCTGTCTTGGTTACTTTAACGGAGGTAGGATGATGCTTAGAAATATTAGGCTTGAGATTAGAACGTTATAAATATTGAGAACTAGCGTTAGGACTTTGAAAGATTTCTAAAGTAACAAGTAATGCTTAGAAATGAAACCGTGCTGTACCACTTACAAGACACAGTGACAAAAGTGAGGCTGGTTTCTGTAGTTAGTCGTCTCTGTTATGTGAGAGTTCCTGATAGTAAACTTTAAAATAGTTTGTCGAACAAATGTAAAGCACACATGACGTGGAGGTTGTCATTTTGTACCGATGACCTAAACGACTACCACGAAAAATAGTCCGGATTCTTGGCAACGGCGTTGATAATTTTTTGTCCCTCAGAGGAGGTTAAACGTGGGATAGGCTTACAACTGCAGGTTGTTGGCTTAAATGTGTTTGGTTTTAAATAAATATATCATGAGTGCGAAGCCAGGCTTTGGGTGGCCAGATTTAAAGTTATTGCATTCTATTAGGATAAAATCCTCATCCGGTAAGAGATTGTGTCATCATTCTAAATATTCTACTGATTTTTCAGTGTACTCACGTGGTCTTGTGAATGAGATCAGATTTAAAGCTTGAGCCGCGTCGCTTGTTCTGATTCATCCAACGTTTCGGCAAATTTGCTGTTGATGCATCACCTGCAGCTTCTTAAGAACACATATTTCTGTATACGTGCCCCGTACCGAGCAACCCCTGGTTTATTAATTTCAGCAATTTATGATGCATGATATAGTCAACTTCATACTGTATTCATATTCAAGATTTTCCATTTAAAACGTGACCATAACTGCAAAATTATTTGAAAGTTTTGTTAACATCAATATAACGATCGATCTTTTGTCTTATTCGGCACTTCCTTCTCAGAATTCCCACTGCAGATGCTTCACTTACAGCAGCGAATAATATGGTCGAGAAATCATGTTTGGGAATGAACACACGTTCTGCTACTGAATGCACCATTTTCTCGTCAGCGCAGATTTTCAGCAACTGGCGTGAGCAGCGGCCTAGTAACCAGGGTTACTTTGATTGAAGAGTTGCTTTTGATTTAACCTTTGTACCGTTGCAAGTGAAACAACATTCGCCCCATTTTCATCCCATATTTTCAAGCGATGCTATTGTATAGGTGTCATAATATTAAAACTGCAAAGAAAAATCTGTTTCTTGAAATCCTCTACTTTCCTCTCGGGGAAAATTCAGATTTTGGGAGCTGCTGGTATTACGGCTTCATGACGCTCCGCATTGAAATTCTGACGTCTGTATTTAGCACAAAATGTAAACAGTATATGTGGCAGTATTACGATAATGTTCTGGGATATGACGCCATGGAGACTCGTAGGTAAATATCAGTTTGTCAGAGAAACATACTGCCTCTATCTTCCGGTCTGAAGATGGGGACAGTTTCTCTCTTTGAAATGTCGGTATCCACCTACGAGTCCATACGACGTCATCACCACCGCCGTGAGGACCAAAAATCTTACATTACTTTATTTTATGTGACTCATGAGACTTTGTTTACTTTTTGACGGGTGTTCCGCTGGTACATACAGTAAATAGGCTTATCTCGCGAGACTGATTCAGGGAAGCATGTTGTTGCCAGAATCAGCGTGTGCGCGCATGAGCAAACATAATCTGGAGACTTGTGTACCCAAACATGTGCTGATGCAGCTAATCTACCAACTAACGACAGAAGCAGTGGATATAATAACTTATAAAATCTTAAACGTAGTTTGTGTAAAGAGGGCAGATTTGCTACGAACCTGCTCTGTCAAAGAGCATTGCAGAGATAAAAGAATGGTTGCTAAGACTATAACTTTACTAAAATATTTCTCGGTTTATACGACAGCCTGTTAATATTTTTCAGTGGATATGATAGCAAAACTTGGCCTAATCGAAACTGTTACAATAGCTACAAAACTACAAGTCTTTCTCTTTCAGTCGACCTTATTTTCTGTTTAATTTTCCATCTCATTTAACTGCGTATGTATATAAAGAATAAGAACTCAACTTTTCGTCATACGATCGGTTTTTAATTAATTATTCAGCTGCATTGACAAGACCTCCGTCGTTTTATCAATGTTATCAGCATTTTTGGGATCGCCCTCTGTAAATGTCATCATGATTTTCAGATTTATAAACCTAACTGCCACCCATTTCTCCACTTATTCAACTTTCATAACCAGGAATGCTCGTGACGTCACGTGTTAATATGTACTCACAGGCTCACCTGCGCAAGCTCTACATACCAATCACTGTTCGTTGCTTTGTAATCTGTTAATGCGTTTCAAGTGACGATATTAATTTCTGGGTAACAAGGAAAGAAGATGAAGTTTCAGGATTTAAACGAGAAGCTGAGAATAGGGAAAACTGGCGAACTCTTTTTGGGCAGAATAATGGACCTGTCGTCAGACAGAACACTAAATAAAAATAATAATGTTTGGAAGGAAATTCCAGCTGCTTTACAGATGTGTGATTATTGAATGTTTTGAAGACACACAGTAGACACGGGCAATCAGGAATTTGCATCTCTTGATATCTCATTTACTACGAATAAAAAAAAGTTATGGAAACTGGCGATTGGCACACTTCGGAAAATGTTATTAAATTCTGTGAGATATCTTATTCACTGGGGGGTGAGAAAACATGTTAAAGAAATCATAGGTCTCTCTCGGAATACTCGCAGGATTAATTTTAACTTACAAACATCCAGGCTTTGAAAACTTCCATTCCTGTCTCTTCAGTAAAATATGAACTATGAACTGTTCCCCTCCTCTTTGAGCACTGAAATTAGTCCAGATGTACTTGACTTGAAACTAGTGGAACACATGCCATGTTAGGACAAACATATTGGAGAAGATCATAAAATAAGACAAATATTCTGGAATACAAACTTACACAGGTGGAAAGAACAGAAAATATTTTGGCCGAATAACATTTATTTTCATATACTGTACAATTATCCTATCATATTTACTGTACAAGAATAAGAAAAATGATCGTGTAGAAAAATGAATTGCTAGAAATGGGCGCATTTCATTCACAATCGTATTCAGCCCCCGTTCCAGCAAGGAAAACACACTGAGAACAAACTTATTAAAGTTTTGCGTGTTTTCCTATGAGCATCATCCAAAATAAAACAAAAATCTACAGTATGTACATTCTTTTGTTACAAAAAACATTCACTCTAACACTTACACTTGGAACTTGACCTGTGACGTTCCACATTTCGGAGGTTAGACAATGTAGAAGCTGATAATCGACTCTGATTGAACTACAGAATTTTGTCCTTAAAATCGTGTGGAAATGTTATATAGTAGAATGAATTTTTCCAGATGCAAAACAATATGGATGACATCTGCTGTATTACGTGATTGTTCATAGTAAAGGACGTAACTTCTTCATCCTCATGTTTTCACGTAACAATGCTTGTATCATGTTATGTTGTGTTTATACCGTCAACATACTGAAGTCTGCATTCAAAGTTCAACCCAGCGTTGCATTGCCTTTCTTTTTGTGGCCTAGTAAGTAGACGCAGCTTCCCTGGGATTCAATAGCATTATTTATATTGTGTCACGCCAAACGTGTACTAGGAACTGTGAGAAACAAAATGGCCACTCTATCGGTATCAACTATTCACCACTTGTAAGGATACATTAGGTTCAGTTAGTTAAATTTGTAATTACTTGCATCAGAGCTACCTAAGTATACTGGCTTAATGAAAATTTTGAAATTACTCCCATTTATAGAATTCAGTAAATGAGAATATGATGCTGACAAAAATTGTCACATTAATTTGAAATCAAAGTTTTTTTTTCAGTCGCCGAGTCTTACCTCGGCAGGTCCAAAAATTCAAGTTTATTTTAGATTAAAACGTAACTAGTTGATTTTCAGTCAACAAGGTAACTCTAGCGAGTACATTTTACCTGATATAATTGGAACCAAATTCCTAGATTTCTACTAAATAGCTGTTTACCGATAGAATTTCCAACAAGACCAAGGGGGAGGAATTCTATTCCGAAATTAATGCTATTGTCCCAGAACCTCCGTTACAGACAAGACACTCGATAAAACAACTAAGTCACAATGTATATATTTATATCTTTTAAGAACGAACCGCGTTTTCTTTATTGAGATTACGGTTTTACATATTTTCTTTTTTACAAAAGGAAATTTATAGGCCTATATATTTTATTGAAAAACTAAGTATGGATTAAGTATTAAGCACCGTTTAACCGGGACATGATATATCACATTTCTTGAATAATGAATAGAAAAATGGAGTTCCTTTGGATTATGGTCGTTGTTTTGACATTTATTCATAAACCAACAGTTTCTGGTTTTGTCTTGAATTCGGGTACACTTTTATTTAAAACAGTTTATATTTATAATGGCACTGATGTGATGTTGGTTTCTGTCCGTAACAATTACTACCGAGGTTATAAAGAATATTGCAATAGTTCAATTAATTGTATTGTCAATTCCGTTTTCACCTCCTTTCCAGAAATGTGGCAACAGTTTTGTGTGAATGTTTTCATTCTTCGCATGCCTGTGCATATTCTTTGCACTTCTTACACCACAAAAGATCATGGCCTTATTTCCATTGGGAACGCATTCATAAATATTTTTATCTTCTGAAACTGAAATATAAAGCAATCTCAAAGAGAACACTTGCGTTCAATTCAACTGGATATCAAAGTAGTCCTGCCGTGTATCATAAATGGGATGCATTGCATATCACTCCCGCAAGAGGGGTCATTTATGAGTCCAGTCAGAATATAGACACGGCAGTTAAACGCATGTACAACAAAAACTTTTTTTTCCACTCTGCTCGCCTAGATTTTGCGGAAAAGTCTCCATCCGGTTTATACTACATGACGTAACATTAACTTCGGTTCGTATTCCACAACGGTGACTGGTCTTATATCAAAGTCCGAAGTTAATTTTAGTACTAAGTTTAATAAAAATTCGTTCATGTATCACATCCGAAAATCGAGTAAAGTATGCCAACAAGAAACTATGAATTTTCGCCGAAGGGAGCAGTTAATATTTAAACTAGTGTTTGATGTAAGAGACATTGTAAGGTTCGTCACTGCAAAATGACTCCAAGCATAGCAGTGGCACGTATTATGACGACAGTGCGTGCTACGCGACAAAACGAATTTTTATTGCATATCCTCCTTGATATTGGTTTCAATTTTACTAAGCCTATTTCTGCATCTGAACCAGCAAGCATGGACGTAACTGGCGTATTGAAATATTACTGCAGTTTGTCGTGTTTCTTGAACGCGGAGAATGCTTCCCGCAGGAATTTAATATAGGTACTGATAACGGCCACAGAAGGCAAGGAGGCAATGGAAAATGGTAACAGTGCCGCACAGAATCCTGGTGTATGACGCCATATCCTATCAATTATCGTACATAGAAGCAACGTGCATGTCCCTTGAAAAGTCTGCATTCACATTTGAATGAGCGAAGTAACATTTAAAAAAATATCTCCCGAACTTCATTATGTACTGCTACACAGTGATTTCTTCACATGTCAAACAAATTATCACTGGTCGTTTATGGAGAGTTAGAAAGAACATAATTAATTCACATACGTATCTAAAATTATTTTAGTTTTATTACGACGAATGCGTCACTCTTTAGAACTGAAATGGCCTCTGAATAAAATTAGTCGAAATCGAAACATGGCTGAGTTAAAGTTGCACTTTCCTTTATTTCCAAGACTGCTATAAAGTGATCGCCCTTATTGACTTATGGACAGATCAACTTCTTAAGCACGCACAAGTAGGTGTCGGTAAATTTCCCGTTCGCAATTTAACAGACGTGTTGTTTACTTTACTCTTTCAAATGTGGATTTAAAAAGTTGTAGGAAGTGATTGCTGTTTTGTAGGTATATGATGTTTAAATTTCCAAGTGCTAAGCTATATGTATCGATGTCAGAACCCAATGGTCATCAAAGTTCTGTACGAGACATTAAGTAGTGCATGAATTTCAAATTAGGCTTAGGCTATAGGTCAGCGCAAAAATCGGGATGTAACGAATGGTGGCAAAGCTTAATAACATTCAACTGCATAATATATTTCGTGACTTTAAAAATAGTTCTAATTTCAAGTTGCTTTATAGCACTTCATTAAATGTAATGGACGTAGTGAAGACGTGAAAACGTACGTTTTTGTAAGTTATTTTGAATGAGATTAAATGGATTCAAAACTTCTGAAAGTAACTTCATAATCTGTGAAAGATGATGAAGGTTGGAATATCAGCACACGTTGCAGTTAACATGAATCCTATTACATTACGAATATCCACAATTAGGTGCCGTACGCAAGTAATTGCTAAAATACACGTTCGATTTGTACAGGAGTGAGGTTAGAACTGCTATGAATCTGACTTAATAACAATGGCGACCAACTAGGTGAAATGTTGACAATTTTCATTATGCTTAACTATTTTTATAATAGCCTACATGGGCTATAGTCTACTACATATGGTCCGCTAGATTTTTGTGGTAATGATATGAAAATTACTGATGGTGTTCACATGTTAAAATCACGAAACTGTGCAGATTTAGGCGTTCGACTCATTTGAATTAATTAACGGGATGGTTTCTATATGACGAAGACTTAATCAAGACAATGGCGCTAGGAGTAGAAGAAAAAGTTATGTAATTTTTAACTTTAAAAATAAACATGAACATATGTGAGTTGTAAGTAACTTTCAGCGTGGCAAATCAAGGTAATAATTTGGGAATTAACATTAATATTTTCTATTTTGGGAATAAAGCCTGGAAAGGGACCGTTTTGTTTAACTTAATACATCTTATAGGGTATATTAATAAAAGCTTAAATCGGAAGTTCGTTCTACTTCCGTCTTGGGGTGACAGGTGAACAAAAGGCCATTCTCTTTGATCGGGTTTGAGACAATCTCGACCAGAGGCCTAACAGATTAGTCTTTTGACCTCCTTTCATCTGAAGAGGAAGCAGAAATGGAATCGAAAAGTTGTGGTTTTAGTAACAGAGAGACACTGGATAACGTCAAGAAATCAATTCAACACAACGCATCGCATGCTCTGTAATTATGCAGACGAAGCCTCTAAAAATTCCCACTTATGAAACTCAATGTCTCGCACTACGAAGAACATAGTGTGGTATTTATTATTTATGCTTCAAGCAACCTTCGAGCTTTTGCCATGGTTTACATTGCAGCGTAACAATTAGTACGAGCATGTACATGATAAAATTAACTGGATGTATAATTATTTACACGTCTCTGATTGACTTAGGATTGGAATAAGAAGAACGCCATTCGGCTGCCGAATGTGCCTACTGATTTCGGGCCTTGCCATTCGGAAAGCTTTAGGACTTCTTATGTCACAAATACATTTGCGTTCACTATTTGCAGAATAAAGTAGAGAAGATAAATTTTTAAAGTTAGTTACGAGTGTGTTCATATGGTCATTACCACATGAATCTTAATTAAAAGGAAGATGTGAATGCATAGATGAATGCTGCAGTCTAAATTTCCGATGTGTATCTAATGGTACAACTGGCATTTTGTTTCCTGGGCATTTCGTAAATTTAAATCAAATATTATTGTTTCAGAAGTTTCAGGGTCGCATTTAAATGTGTCTACAGTGCGATGTTAAATGCTTCATAACGGTCGCAATAACTTTTGTGAAGTATCATGTGCATGGATCGCTTTTGCGCAGAATTCTTGTTCAGTCTGAATGATTTGTATGGGCCCTCGTATTTATGTAGAAAAAAGACCAGGGAATCACTGGCACTTCATGTTACTGATGAAGCACTTCAGTATTCGCGTGCTGTACGTCACAGAAAGTAAGAAAGTAATTTCAGGAATATCAACATACAGAACTCTGTAATGAGTTTATAACATGATTGTTTTAAATCAACCCTGCAAATTACCGCCATAATGCTGAAGCGAAACAAATATTCTGAGTTGCCAGTATGAGATTTTTGTAATGAATCTACACGTACAAGTAGCAGTCAAGCGAAGATAGATGCTTCAGAAATTGTTCTTAGTTGGCAACAAGAAATCTGTTATACCAGTATAATGTTAGCCGTTTCCCATTGCCTGTGTTATATTTGATATACATGAAGTTTCGGTAGTTGGTAATTGGTTATCATTATACCGATATTGGCGTTAAAATAAACAATATAATTAAATCTGTCAGTATAATGATAACCATCTAACGACCGAAGGAAAGTTAAATTCCGAAACATCATCGTATCTCAGACAACGGATAAAGTTTAACATTGTATTGGTACTAAATCAGCCATTGATAAAGAAACTTTATAGAATCACAAGATGTTTTTAGTTATGAGATGGAAGTTACGTCGTTGTATTCGAAAGCTTCCATAATCAATGCCTGGTTTCGGTTCAATATTAGGATTCTAGCCATCAATAACCTGCATTTCAAGTCAATCCATTTTCAATACCGTAACGCGAGGCCCAATGTTAGTTGTGCGTGGGAAGATATGGAGTGCACATGAGATATGTTCTATCAGTGGCGTTTAAGACATCTTGGACATGCTGCATATCAGTCTATGACATTTCAGAACTGACCATTGAGGAGACAAAAAAGAAAACCGACTTCTAGATCAGATTCTCACATATCTTCCAACTGAGGCAGAAGCAGCTATATGCTTTAGATTGAATGCCATTTATTGTGAAGCACAATGGTTTAAAACTCCAGAAGAATGTTGTGATTGGACAAAAAACTTAGTGTTAGTGTTGACACTTGCAGCAACAATTACGAGTTCTGTGTTGATTTTTTCTTATTTCTCTCTGACCTTTGAACACTGCGGTTCCTCTAGCGGAAAGGAGGAAGACTCTCCTAATATGAACAGGTTTACTAATTATAACTGAATTTACATTTACTTAGTGAGATTGCAGGTTCCCACGGCAGCAAACATGAACGTGGTTTGTTTTGTCATCTGGGATATTGCGCCGTGTAGTCTGGTAGACGTTGATCGGCGTTTTAGGGGTGCTTGCTGCTTTCATTATCAGGGCGATAACACTGAAATGTCGATCAACTTCTATCGCTGTACACGGCGCAACGTCCTAGAAGAAGGTCATCTCCAAACATTCACTTTGTTAATGACTTTTTATTTTTAATTATTTTAATTATAACTTGTCTAATGCAACTTTCGTGATTCTCTGAATTAAACTTAATCAGACTTGCATGTCGTAGAAAGGGTTTAAGTGCAATATCCTCGTAGCACGATGACACGGTTTGCTCAACATGGTCCATAATAAGTTACTAGATGAAAGATAATGATGATTGTACCTGAGCGGGAAAACTGAACGTAAGTGGGCACTGCGAGTGGTATGAATTTTAAACCGACTATCTGAATTGGGGTATGGATATTGAAACCGGTGTACTTGTTTCAGTGTAGTCGCACAGGAAAATAAATCCCAGAGGATGGTATATGCAATGGTAAATGTAACAGATAAATGTGTGTTAGCCTAATGCGAAAGTATGTTTCGGATAGGAAGACTGTCGAAGCCGGTTGTCTAGACAGGCTCAATAGCACGAGATCTAAAAGATGGAGAAGGTATCAATTTTATGCTATAATTTGTACATCGAAGTGATTATGAAGGTCCTCTGAAATGACTTACATCTGGAATAATTTATAGTTTTGCAAGAAGTGTCGTCAGAGAAATGTTATAAAAACTTTGTCACAATAAGTAGGTCTTTATTTCACGTGTCCTCAAAGAAGTCCGAAGTGTTCACTAAAACAGTTTTGCCCCACAGTTTGAAAGTTAGTAACTTTGCCTGTAAGCCATTCACAAATTTCGTATTGGTGTTAAATTTAAAAAAAAAACAAAAAAAAAACAGAACGATCGTCAACGTAAACTAAAATTCCTTCATATTGCTTATTAAATGTTTTGGACCTGAAAACATCTTTTGAAAAAGTGCAGAAATGTATCGGTACCTCTGAACCGTTTTGACCTTGACATGATTGCAGTTATATTACAGCCCGTCTACAGTTCTGGACCTGGAGGATAGTATTCAGTAGCAAAATACATGGATATGCGGCTCTGCAAATCCTTGTCTCCATGCCACCGACAGGCATTTGTGTAAATGTAGGGGTGTCCCCGTGGCCTGTTACTTGAGAATCACTGTCTTCGTCACGTTGATAAGTCCATGTAACGCCTGATATCCACACACGAAGGTAGGAACTCGAGTTATTAGTGACGACGACAATCGCGCGAATAATGATTTGATGAAGACTTTGATGATGAAGACGATTCACGCGGAAGCCAATTGCCTCCAGACGCTGTGTCACATCGAGCTCATGTACGGCCAACTGAAACTACTGCCACTGAGCAGCATGTCTCTAATGAGCGTCTCGATGGGCGTCTTGCCCACAAGGCGCACAAAGAACAGCTGTTCGATCACCTGCGAACTGACAGTCCTGAGAGACGGTAACCGGAGCAGCAGTTTGCCGAAACGCGTTGGCTGGTTGGGGTACTGTGTCCTGCAATATTCTTCGAGCGCGCACTGCGACTTTTCCTGAAGACTCTCGATGTGCGCCACGTCCGATAGTCCACACGCATCTGAAACAAAAACGGGCGTTGTTTAAGGCACCTAAATTGTCCGCTGCGATGTCGCGCCATCTGCTGCTCTAAGACTCTTCGATTTATTAGGTTCGAATTATATTCGTGTCTTATATTTTTGTGTGTGGGGTAAATGACACATGTTTGATAGCATTTTATTTACAATGAAGTCGCCGTGGATGTGTGAAGTCTTATAAATTATTACACATTAGTTACCATGAGTTTTAAAATAAGAGAAGTCACGTTGACTGCAGGAACTTACCATAAACAATTTAACTAAACGTTTAGTATTCTTGGCCTTGTTTCGGAAAGGTGTACGAATCGAATCACAATCGGTTGTTATGGCTTAAATATGATAAATTCAAGGCTTTCATCCTGGCTGAAACGTTACATGTTGAAAATAATAGGAGTTCAATGTCCGAAGATAGGTCCTCATTAAAATACATACGTCACTAATATATTTTACAACCCACACATACAAAGACGGAGCTAGAGGAAGTGAACTTCATGACTGTTACTGACCCAAATCCGATCAGGAGCAATTTCATCCTCACAGTTATCAATCCATCACTGTCTCTAGAACCCTGTTGTCAGTGACAACAGAACCAAGAATAAACTATCGTAGGTTCAAGATCGAGTTGAAGATACGTTCAGACACCCGCAGAAACAAACCACGGAAATTATAGCGGAAGGCACATTTATTGTTCTCAAATTGCGTTTTTGCTAATACTTTTTAGATAATTAAAATGGACTTCATTATTACAAAATGAACTCCTTCCTGTCTTTCCTCTTCTGATTGTTGTTTTCCAAAACTTTGAACTTGCATGAGTTTTAATTGCTCGAGGCAAGTAATGAGGAATGAGAAGC